TCTCTTAGCCACTCGATCACTTCTAATCCTTCCAGCAATATTGTACCCTTTTTCGCTTCCCTTACCTTCAGGCTTACCTTCCCCTTGATTCTCATCTCTTCGAACAAGAGATTATTTGCTTCTATCTTCAAGGATCTCCTCCACTGACCTGCCTGCACAAACTCCATCACTGACCTGCCTGCACTCTTTACCATGTATTCCTTCAACCAAGGTGCAATGTGATCAGGCTCCAAATTTGGCTTTAGGAATTTTGTGCCATCACTATTCTGTGAAATCCCTGAAAACATTCAGCAAAGTCTTGCTTCAAAAAAGTCAGTATTTCTTGTATGAAGTCTGGCAAGCTGCGAAAAACATGCGTGTAATTGTATAAAAAGTAGGGCCATTTACTAAACCATCCCTTGTAGTTTCACAAATTTACTATAACCTACCCTATAGTTTACCTTTTACCCCTATAGTTTGCAATCAATTTACTTAATTGGTCTTCTGTTAAGAATCCTTTGTATTTCTGTCTAATAATGGTAATGTGACCATATAAACAGAGTGGAAAATGTTTAAAGGCATGAGCCCATGCTTTTTTATTCCAAAAGGACTCCTAAAACTTCATATCAAGCTTCTAGAAAGAAATTAGGTTTGATTTTCAGATCTATCAAAAAATGTTTGGCTGAAGAGAGAACAATGGCATCCAGGGTTCTTCGTCATCTATGGTTTGTCTTCTTCAAACAGACAACAATTTTTACAGAATAGAGTTGTTTCCTGTATTTTACTAGAGACAAAAATGCGATTTCCATTTTTATAGATTAAATTTGTTTGAAGGGATGTTAAGGTCAAAACTGTCATTTTCCACCTCCATCTAATGGGAGGTTGATTAAGTAAATTGGTTACAAACTATATGGGTGTTTTAGTAAAATGCARACTATAGGATAGATTATAGTAAATCCATGAAACTCCAAAAGGGTGTTTTAGTAAATGACCCTAAAAAGTAATAATTAGTATTATATATTCAAACTATAAAATAGATATTTTTTGGAGACTCCAGCATTCAGAATCCGAAACAACCTCACTATATTCGGAACTCAAAAGATGCAGAAAAGTTGTTTTTGATAGTTCAGACTTTAAAGCTGTTTTCAAACCCTTTTTGCTTTTTGGAGATCAGAGTTCAAATTTACCTTACACCAACTGAAGCCCTTCTTAATTGGCAAGAAGTCATGGGACGGGAGTAACCTTTGACAAGAATTGACAGGTAAGCAGTGAGCTGGAGAGATGTCCTTTAATACATATAGTATTGTCTTCCTTAATTCCAGCTTACAAATGGACTCAACCCCCCCCAATGTGCACATGTGATCTTCATGCTATGCGTATACTCATTGGCAATAAGACTCTGACCCAGTTATTAGGGTCTACAAAATTAAAATACGGAGAAATGGTTTTGTTAGAAACTTCTCTAAGCCTGATGAGAGCACTTTGCAGTAGGTATTTGTTTTTGTACATTATATATTATTTTTTATATTTTATGGGTATTGGGCACCTCATTTGCGTGAGCTGGCATGGATTTTTCTCAGTCTTCATGTAAAAGACTTTTTCTTTTGAAATATTTGTGAAGATTCATGGACGGAAAGTTAGATCTAGCTGTGAAAAATGTCATACTTTCATCAATAGTCACTATTAACCTGAACAAAATGCTAGCATTCTCTGGTCAAGATTTACCTTTTTCTTTTAATTTATCTGAGCAGAGAATTCCTTCAATTGCTTCAGAAGTACTGAAGGTGACACAGGTTGTCATTGATGCTGTGGTAAGACTATGCAGAGCATATTCTGAAGTCCTAAATTGGGACTCTTGCAATGTAAGAACGGAGCAAGACAATGGTTCTACTGATAGGGAAAACAATGATACTGTGAATCATGTTATTAACATAATAGGACTTACAATAGAAAGTTTGTATAAATTGGGTATCCTTGCTGCCAATGGTGGTGGGAGTATGGTGACAATTCTTAATGTGTCATGGAAAGGTGTGGTCACTTTATTACAGCTTGGTAAGGGAGTTTTAGCTTCAAAGGTAAATGTAGCAGATGTGATGTTATCCTTGATTTCACTAGCTACTGAATCTCTGAGGTGTGCAGCTGAGGCATGGTTTGCAACTCTTGATGAAACCATTGCTATAACCGAAGCTAGGAGGACATTTCTTCCAGTGAAATTTTACCTCATAAATGCTGTTCGTATTTCCTCCCAATATCCATTCCAAGCATTAAATGTATACAGGGAGATAAGTCGATGCATCTTGATTATCACATCCTTTGGTATTTCACTTAGCAGAGAAAATCATCTGAAAGCTGCAAGCAAAGCTTTAGGAGAACTTTTGGAACCGACTTCCTCTCTTCTACTTCACACCTTGCTATGTTCAGCTGAAGTGGAACCAGAGTCTAAGTTCAAAATTCTGGACTGGTTATTTATGGGTGAAAGTGATTCAAGTAACATGGTCTCTGAGGAGACTATTACTAACACAAGAACTTCAATTGTTGAAATGTTAAGCATGGACATTGAAGATATTCCAAAAGCAAGAAACTTGATGCTTGGCCGGGTGGCTTTGTTTCTTAATCTTCTCAAAAGTTCTGTAGATTTTGAAGAAGATCTGRAACTTCTTATGTCAAGAAAGCTGGATTGGCTATTAGGATCTTTAATGGAAGAAAATGTCTATTCCTCTGTTCTTGTTTTACATATTCCTATGGTATATGGTTCTGAATCAACGGTGGAGTTATCTTCCATATTGCATGCACTGAAAACCTTCATGATAGTGACTTCTTCAGGTCCAACTTGGGGGGTTGTGGAAACTTTCCTTCTTGAGAACTTACTCCATTCTCACTTTCTTTGCCGGGAGATCATCATGGAACTTTGGTGTTTTGTTGTCCGTCACGCTGAGATAGATATGGTGAATGACATCTTTAATAAACTTTATTTGTTATTTAAGCTTGTAGCTTCTTCAGAACCATCACTTATGCCTAATAGTGCTCTGAGGAAGATGGCAGGATCTATCTGCATGCTTGTCAGTTATGCAACAAAATTTATGATAGATAAGATTTACAATACCTTTGCAAGTGAGGATGGATCTCAGTTGTCATCTATCATGTGCATAGCTTTGCTCATGGAAGGATTCCCGCTAGATTTCTTGTCAGAGAACCTGAAAAAGATTGCAATAAAAAGAATAACTACTGCATATGTTGATTTCATCGAAAGGAACATTGAAAATATTCAGTTCGATAGTTTGTCAAGATCGTGCATTTCCAATGTATTAGGGGCACCAATCTATGCATTGTCTTCTGCTTCACATTGTCTGTAAGTAGTTGGTTGCCTTCAGACTTAAATGCTAATTAGTCTATTTCAGTTTGAGGTTTCAGAATCTTTAGGTGCAAAAAGTTTGAAATAAAAAATTTTGTCTTGTAGGCAGATCAATAGTTCTGATATTGACTTCAAGACACTGAAGTTCACAGTTGCTCTTGTTCGGGGTTACGCAAATGCTACAAACAATTTCATGAAGGACTGTTGTTCTAAGCTTTTGAGCCAGATGTTAAGGGTTATCTCACAGATGAAGCATCTATACTCATCAGATGGGATGGAAGAAGTCGTCTTGGAGCTTAAAAACTTGTTTGTCTCAGAAATTACAGCCCTAGATACCAGGTTGTATCAATGCAAACCAGAACTGGCTTCTTTTATGGCAAGCATGGGTCATATGGAACTAGCAGAAGGTGAGGGAAGTGCAAAGTGCTCTGATGTATGGGAATTGTATCACCTGTTGTTGAGAGAACAACATTGGGCATTGGTTCATTTGACAATCACGGCATTTGGATATTTTGCAGCACGTACTTCTTGTAACCAACTATGGAGATTTGTACCCCAAGATGCAGCTCTTTCATTCAACATAGAGACAGGAAGTGAGGCAAATGAGGAGACATTTATGTCTGAGTTGAAGGCTTTCCTTGAAAAGGAAGTGGCTCTGCTTGTGGCTACACCATCCATAGAGCAACTTGGGCTACTTGCAAAGGAAGGTCTGATGCTGAAGGAAACTGTTAACAGGATCTCAAGTGTCAATCCATTGGATTTGGGATCTGAAATAATGAAGGTTGATGAGGAAATTCAAGCAACGAAGAAAAGAAAAATTCCTGATAGAATCAGTGAAGGAATGACATTGCTCCAGAATGGTTTGAAGGCTATGGGAGATGGTCTTGCTTTGTGGCGGAAACAGCACTCTGATTCCAGAGAATTGCAGGACAAATTCTCAACTCACCTTTCTTGCCTCGAAGATGCTCTTGCTCAATTAGCGGATCTAGCAGATACTGAGTAATAAGCAGTTTTTGGCCCTCTACTGGAGGTTGTTTGTCTGTTTGACAATCAGAAAGTTGGATTTATTTGTGACTACCAGCCAAACTTGAAACTGTATCTTAGTATTAAACAGGTATCAATTATTCCTTTTATTTTTCCTTACTTTATTACCTGATACAATTTATTTAAAAGCTAGCCAATTATTTGTAGGTCCAGATTGTCTTTGGGAGCATGAAGGGCCAAGATGCCAAGAAGAATCATGCCATGGTTGTCCAAATTGCAGCTTTCTTGTGTCAGATTATAATTGCAATGTGAGCTTGGTACATTTGTATGAAATATGCATCTAGACATGACTAATCAGTAAAAGATGGATAATGATTTCATGGTTCAAGTTAATGTATTACATTTTCCCAATCCCCCTGTTTTACCAGTGCCCTTAAAGTATTACATTAAAGAACTGAGAATAATAGAGACATTTCAGAATCAAATAGGCTAGGGCTTTATGCAATAAAAACTAGAATACATGGAACTGTTATGGGGATAGGATAACTGTATAAGGGTGTTAAACTGTTAATGAAAATAAAGATGGTGTTAAATTAAGGTTAGAAGGGTTTAGGCTTAATGGACAAAAATGGAATTTCATGGGTGTTAGCATACATACTTGTGATTAAAAAATAGGGTTTGCCTAATTTTGGTATTAAGGTTTACGAGGATTTGGAATGGTAGAGAAGAGATAGAAAAAACACTAGTGGCTTGTATGGAGCTAGACAATTAGGATTCAATGGCTGTTTAGTAGATTAGGGGTCAAGCTGGGCTTAGGTTTCCATGCCATGGACCTGGTTGGAATGGCTAACGCTAGATTTGTAATAAAAAAGAGAAGAAAAAAGACCTGGTTGGGTTGGGAATATCAAGGCCCAACAATCAGGACGAGCCCAACCCAACTATATATAGTGGCAGAATATATTTATCAATGGCATATTGGGATGCTTGTGATCCAAATCAATCTCATTGTTTTGGCATTTCACAACACCATACCTTAATTGTTAATTTGCACCCACTGTTTTGGGCTGCAAAATCTTTGCATTTTGCTAAGGTGCATTTAGAGTTGGGGGGG